CAGTTTTACCTGCCACCGTCGTGCATGCGGCACAATCGCGCCGTTACCCAAAAACTCCAGCTTTCTCACTAGGCTACCATTCCAAAAGACCGCACTTTTACCACCCCAGCGTCGGAAAAACTTCGACTTTTATAGTGCCGCCCGCGGCTTCTACCGTTGAGCGATATCATGGTCGGCCTAGGAAATCAAGAAATTTGCACCTCACTGGTCCTAATGCCGTAGCAAATAAGTCAAGCGGATTCGATAACTAAATCTTAGCCCCGATCATCAACTGTCGGTATCAAACGCGAATGCGCTCCGCGTGCGCTACTGCAGTTTCTTCACACTCCCTTTCTAGTTCACGCTACCACGTGCGGACATAAACATATCCAATGTCCGCCTAAAACCCATGCGTGCCCTCGAAGTGCACGCCCACACTCTCTCTAATCAGATAAAAAACCCGTGCCATTCCCAACCCCTGAGAGTTGGTGATGGTCACACGGAAATGGGTCACTCTCTCGAGTATTGTCAAAAACGCATCTTCTGCAATATGGAAAAATGTGCCCAAATACCCTTGTAAGGGTAAGGGTATTCGGGCCGACAACGCTGCAACAGGAAGGCCCCAGCTGGAGTAGAGCTACACCAAGAAGCTTCGAGGCAGATCGAGGCATGGCGGCCTGAGCTAGAGCAGCCATAGCTGCTTTGCGTTGTCCTTGAGACATCAGGGCTAGGCCCGAGTAGCCCGCCATAGCCTCGGCCTATGAGAGTGAAGAGTGAGGGAGGCGGCCATGACTATGGTGGACCTCAAGTGATACTTGCAGTAGAAGAGGGATTCAGACTTTGATTCTGGTTCAGCCATTCAACATTGTATTATTATTTCTTGTGTGAATAAGAGAGGAGATAAGGAGGAGGAGATTGATTGGCGAAGAAGAAAAGCATTCTCATTGGTCTATGTTGGTGTACTTCATCTTCTTCTTCTTCTTTCTACTTCTTCTCTTCTACCCCTCTCTCTCCTCTCAAGTTCATTCATTTCTTTTTGCAAGTCTACGGCATTGTACTATCTGATGAATGTGTATCTCGAAATTGGCCAGGATCATAACATTGGTATCAGAGCGGATTCTACTTGCTGGTGAGAGTTGACTTCGCTGCCCCTAACCTAAGTGGTTGAGGGCAACACTTAGGGTTGGATGTAAGGGAAGAGGGGCAGCGTGGCGAAGGGAAGCTGCCCCCACTCGGTTAGGTCGTGTGGGGTCGACACTGAACCTAACCAGGTTGCTTGAGAGAGAGATTGGGGTGGCGAGACATTTCGTGGAGAGAGGCAACAGTGAGAGGCACTCACACCTGGACTCTGACTCAAGGGAGATACTTGGCAACTTAAGGGTTGCCCTCAAGTAGGCGAACTTGAGGGACAACGGCCATTCAACATCTACAGATTGCAAGTTGCTACTTTGTTCTTTAGCATAGGCGGGGGACCCACGTTGCATTTTGGTGTTGGAGTCAGACCCTCCAGCATCGGCGGGGGACCCGGCCATTCAGCATCTATAGACTGCAAGTTGCTAGCATATGTACCTGGGAGAGTTGAGGACCGACGGGGATCGTCCTGAATACCCAAGTGAAGTGTTTCTTGTCCTAGCCTTGCTTGTTGGAATATGTTGTTTCTTTGTAATCTCCTAGTTTGTGGTGATGCCTTTTGGCCTTCGCAATTCGTCGAGAACATTCCAACATACCATGGATAGGGTCTCTCATGACTACTTGGAAAAGTTCATTGTCGTGTACCTCGACGATATACTTATCTTCAGTAGGACTGTCGAGGATGATGCCCAACATGTAGAAACCACACTTTCACTCCTGCGACAATACAAGTATAAGATAAACTTAGAGAAATGCGGGTTCGGTTGCACTAGAATCTTGTACTTGGGTCATGAGATATCCGCAGAAGGGATTAGGCCCGAAGCTGCAAAGGTGGCTAGCATTCGTGACTGGCCACAACTCCAGTTTGTGACTGAGATTAGATCATTATTTGGGATGTGTGGCTACTATCGCAATTTCATAAAGAATTATAGCTCAGTGGCGTCCCCTTTGACTGATCTAAAATGCCTTGACACACCATGGGAATGAACCGACACATGTGAGGCTGCTTTTAAAAGGTTGAAGTACGCCTTCACACGTCATGAGATTCTCATGGTCCGCTATTCGGAGAGGCCATTTGTTGTGACCACTGACGCAATCCAATATGGTATTGGCGCAGTGCTGGCCCACCAGGAAGGGAAGAAGTTAAGGCCGATCGAGTACATGAGTAAGAAGATGCCATCAAAGATATTGGCGAAGTCCACCTATGAAAGGGAACTCTATGCCCTTTATAACGCCCTTGTCCACTGGAGACACTATCTGCTTGGAAGGTTCTTCTATTTGAGAGCTGACCATCAGACACTCAAGTGGATCAAGACGCAACATGTCCTCTCTAACGCACTTAAACACCGGATTGAAGTTATAGACCAATATGATTTCAAGCTAGATTACGTAAAGGGAGAGTACAACAAGGTTGTTGATGCGTTGTCACATAGGGCAGACTACCTAGGTGCGCTGGTTATTGAATTTTGCTTATCTGATGATGTAACTCGATTTTTGGTGGAAGCCTACAAGGAGGAACCCGTCATGGTGGACATCATATGCAAACTTGAGGCCCAAGACAAGGCCACATCTGACGAGTTTGTGTTGGTGGACGGTTTACTCTTCTTGAAAAGGCAGGTTTTAAAAGGTTGAGTGTTCCTTCTAGAGAGATTCTTTGTAGTTTGTTCTTAGGAGAGTGTCACGACACAACCAGTCAGTTTAACTACAAGAAGACTAGTGTTAATTTAGTGCAACATTTACTGTGGCCTAATATGCTTGACGATGTAAAGAAGTACGTACAGACTTGTCAAGTCTGTCAGCGGGACAAGCCGCGAACTCAAGCTCTGCTTGGGTCATTCCTGCTGATTCGGGAGAGAGTGTCTCCATGGACTTCATGGATACCCTCGTGACCAGCAAGGGTGGCAAAAGGCAGATGTTTGTCATAGTTCCACCGCTTTTAATCCTGTTTGCATTGGTTCATGCACATATTTACGTGAAATAAGTTTACTTCATACGCTAGACTAATCCCTATGTCGGAAACAACGAAAACAAAGCACGTCATCAAGTTATTCATGGATAACTGGGTGCGTGACTTTGGACTGCCCAAAACCATTATCTGTGACAGAGATGTCAGATTCACAAGTGAAATGTGGAAAAAGGTTGCTGAACAGATGGGCAGTCAACTCCAAATGACTTCGGGGAATCATCCCGAAGCAAATGGTCAAACTAAACAGATGAGCCGTGTGGTGCAACATCTATGACTCTGGGAGCGACACTCGCGATCAACTGGTTCTCAAAATTGAGTCAGCAATTACAAGCTGGTAAATTTGAGCCACAAGCGTGGCCTTATCTTATCGTACAGAAAACCCTCACCGTGGTGCTGGACAACATATACGATCCAGAATTTCTGGACTGTTCTCACGCGAAGCGTGCAATATATCAAGCCCAACCAAGGTGATTGGGATGAGAAACTTCCTCTCATCACCAGTTTGTACAATAACACTGTACACAGCACCACCGACGCCGGGCCCAACCAGCTGCATTTGGGGTGGAAGCCTAGATTTGCATTAGACTTACTCCTACCTGAAAACCGACCAACGACAACTCCTCGAAACATTGAATTTGGTGTCCAGTATGCAGGCTGTTGAGCATATCAGAAAGTCTCAAGAGGCAATGATTGCCTCTGAAAACAAGCAAAGGCGACAATCCACATTTCAGGTAGGGGAACGCTTCTGATAAAGGCTAGTGAACTAGGACATGAGTTTGGCATCTCTAGGAAGTTAATGCCGCAGCACTTTGGTCCATGGGAAGTTCTAGACATTGTGGGTAGTGATCTAGATGGTCCCTCGTACATCATCAGAAGCCCTTGTCATTTGCGCACTTACCCTATATTTCACACTTCCAAACTTGCACCTTTTGCTGAGACGGATTTGTTCCTAACAAGAAGGTCAATCGATACATGCTCCATTGAGCAATGTATTTGGAGCCAAGGATCCACAAAGTGATGAAAAGGACTCGAATGGACAATGCAGCGTTAGCGAAGCATCATCAAGCAAAGTACATCCAAATACATATGAAAATAGCACAATGTAGCGCAGTTGAAGACTCAAACTCTGACCTGGCAGATACTGACGCGACATTTGAGTCTCTCTTCAGTCCATGTTCGAGTCCGGTTGACCCGTTAGCTGGACCATGATCACATCAAGTAGGGAGTGCGGGCATGAGCGGAAGGCGCTTGTAAAACAACCCGGCTAGCGCAATGCCCCGTACTGACCGATACACAACCGAACTGTGTGAATACAGTGAGGGGACTGTCTAGGCTATGTAGGGACTCTACAGTTGGGCGGGACCAAGCTAAGTAGGAAGCACGAGCATGAGCAGCGACGCTCGTAAAACAACCCGGCTAACCCAAAGACTAGTATCACACCCTCCCACCTCACAAGTAGGCGCAGGGCAATTGCTGTCACGCAGGATTCTGCTTTTGTTTTTTGCTTCCCCCCTCCCCCCCTTTTTTTACATTACTCACACTTTCCCTCTCATGCCCTGCTGAGGGTGCCCAGCTTAGAGTGTGGTCCTTGGATATGTGACCATCACCTGACCCTGGTATCCCACCCAAGCCTTTCTGACAAACACAAAGAACAACATAACACAAGTAGACCACAAAGACTGACTTGATATGACCAAAACATGGCACACAAGACCTCAAGGAGACACAAGTGAGCGGAGCAAGAGATCAAGTATTTCAAAATTGCATTCCAGGAGATGTGCAAGGAATATGAGCGGGAGTGATAGACAGAAACCCCCAAGTTGCAAAATCACGAAGTAGCTCAGATAGTCATGAACCAAGCAGAGAGTGCAATGCACCAAGATACCGTCCAAATAAGAGCAATACAGTGAACTCAGGTGTCAATCGCCACTCTCTGGTCACACGAACACTGTATCCAACGTCGCACTTACTTTTTGGCGCCCAGCGCCCAGCCTATCCTACTCAACCTATCTAGCCTATCTACGTTCTCGCAACTGGATCACTCTGAAGTCGAAGACCAATGTACGTGACATCAACACCAATGTCGACCTCCAACATACACCAGGTACGTTCTCTCTCCTCCCCTCATCACCCCTTGGATCCCCTCTTCATGCGCCTCCTACCCGAAGACCACCATCGACATCACCTGCATAGCGCCCCTTCAGCCCGGCTATGGTTACTGTGTGCTCGCTGCCTCGCAGCGCCCCTCTCACCTCAGCGCCCGTGCGCGCGCCCGACCCGCAGCGCCCATGCAGACACTAGCGCCACAACACAGCAGCGTGTACGCATTGCCTGCCAAGGCCAGAATGCCTCTCCCAGGGCCTCACACTTTACTTCATGGAAAGTGTGTCGCTGCTGGCTGTCCCTGCCAGGTGTCGGGGGGGGGGGCAGTAGCTTCAGTTGGGCCCCAAGCATCTGCGCCCAAGCCCAGTTTCCGAAACTGGACTGGGCCCAGTTTTCGAAACTGGACTGGGCCTCGTGCAGTTACGCACTTCGAGGCAGCCACCCAGCCTCCAAGTGTTTGCAGCATTCTCATTGGCTCGCGGCACATGTGTGATGACAATGATGCTTCCTCATTGGCCCATAACCACTCCGTGATGTGTCGGCCTCACACAGCGTGTGCCCAGGGCGCAACCGCCTGAGCCTTGGGCTGGAGCCTTGGGCTCAACTGTACAGCGCAGCCCTTTGCTTTTGTAAAGAGCCTGGAGGCACACGTTGTTCTGTAACCAACTGGCGTGCTGCAACTGTCTAAGTACCCACATATGGAATGAGTCTTCCATTGCGCTACATTGTGCTATTTTCATATGTATCTGGATATATATTGCTTGTTGATGCTTTGCTGACGCGGCATTGTCTATTCAAGTCCTTTTCATCACTTCGCGGATCCTTGGCTCCATATACATTGCTCAACTGAGCATGTATCACATTCCGGGAAAATCAATCCATTTTGCAGACGCTCTTTCACGACGTACGGATCATTGTACCAAGGTCTACTCGACGTTCGAGATTAACGACGACTTGTGGGACAGCTTCATCCGCGGCTACCAAGTCAACCTCGAGTTTAGCAACAAGTACGCTAACTGCTCCACTCCAAATCCGGCACCCTCGCACTATCGGATCCAACAGGGCTATTTGCTAGTCTACTCGCGGGGGAAGAGTATTCTTTGTGTACCAAGTGATCCACACTTGCGTATGCGGCTTCTTGGCGAGTTCCACGACGTTCCCGCCACCGGACACTTCGGAGTCAATCGTACAATTGGCCGACTTTGCAAGCGCTTTTGGAGGCCCGGCCTCCTCGGCGGCGTCACAAGCTATTGCGAGTCATGCGAGGTTTGTCGAGGTTCTTTACGCCGGTTGGATTTGTACCAAGGGTTACCAAAAGGAGATCGCCTGTGACCACAATACTCGGTTCATGTCCAACTTTTGGTTGGCTCTCGTCAAATGATGGGGCTCATCTCTCAAGCCGAGTTCGGCTCGCCACCCGCAAACCGATAGCCAGAAGGAGAGGGCACATAAAACCGCATACGTTCTTCTTCGCACTCTCATTCGTCCCGACCAAAAGGATTGGGTTGAGCGCTTGCTTGACGTCGAGTTGGCTGACAACTCGTCCATTCATCTGGCTATCGGGATATCGCCTTTGAGTTCGAGCATGGCTCGCCGGTCGCATCGCTGTTGGACACTATTATCCCACGGGCAACCGAGAGTGACGACCACCTTATCTTCATTCAACGGATGCAAGAGCTCCTTGTCAAGGCACGCGACCAGATGTCGAAGACGCAGCAACGCATGAACCGTTAGGCCAATCGCCAGCGTGTTCCTTGTCCGTTCCACGCCAGCGACCTCGTTTGGGTCTCCGCCAACGAATTCAACCTTGAACAAGATATCATTTGCAAGCTCCTTGGCACACTGTAGCACCCGCGGGTGACGCACCCGAAGGACCTTCATTTGTCATTCAGGTGCCCGCCCACTTGCCCGTCTACCCGGTCTTCCATTGTTCAAAGTTGGCACTTTTCGTTTCGACGAAATGCGACGACTTTCCCGGGCGACGATCGCAAGACCCACCCTCCATCGACGGTTTTCAGAAGGTTAGCGACCTCATTTCGCAGTGACGCTACAGCACCAAGCCGACGAAGTACTTAGTACATTTCTCTTATTGTATCCATAAGGCTGACCGTTAGTTGACTCGTGCAGCACTTCAGGCTACAGCTCCCGATGTTCTCGCATGTTACGAACGCAAACAGCAAGGCAAGACGGCACCTTCGGCTCCACGCCGTACTCTCATCCAGGTTCCTCCATCGGATCGCCAGCTTCGCCCTCGAACCGGCTTGATTTCATGAGGACGGAGGGGTGTCACATGCTGAGCCTGCACACAGGCCCCATTTTGGGGGCCCAACGGTTGGTGAGGGCCTTAGGCCACACGCCCTTCGGACATGCACCCTGGAGGCCCACGGCTGGCCTTAGGGCCGCAGGTTTTTTTATTGGAGGCAACATTCATTTATTTATTTATTTATTTGCTGTCCTATTTTTGTTTGTTCAAGTGTCGTTTCGAACTGCAGTTCAGTACGTCCTAACAGACCTTGGGTCTGTTCGGACAAGGCCCCTCTTTTGGCCTGATACGAACATAGGCAGGCCCTGTTGGGCCAGGTTCGTGTCCATCTAGTAGCGGACGGCCCTGCTGCATCAGCAGGGAGGGTCTGGACGTCCTGTCAGGACCCAGACCCAGTAGGCCCCGTTTTGGCTTAGGACCAGAGGCACATGGAGGCACACCCGCAAGCCCCAGCGCTACTTATAGCTGGGCCACACCTGGGCAGACATACAGTTCGAGTAGCTCACTTCTTGGCCGACACACTACTGGAGCACCACGACACAGCGTTGCGCTATAAAGGTCGAGGTGTAGGTGGGAGGTGAGGCGGAGGCCATACCTGCAGAGACGGTACTTACTTGGCACCATAGCCGCGCTCCACGGCGGCGACCTGCACAAAGACCACGACGACAGTTAGTACATGGCGGGAGTTACCTGCAAGTGAGATAGCGAGGAGGACAACGTCTTCTTTTTCTTCGTCGTCTCGCCCTCCATCTCTTTTCCCTCGTTCCTCCTTTTTCTTCTTCTTTCAGAGAGAGAGAGAGAGAGAGGTTACAGGCAGAGGTTACATCGAGCATGAAGCCCAGGATCTGATTCTACAATTGTGGCAGACATTGATTGGACATTCGGCAAGGAGACCATTTTTTGGACTTTGCTATCGCGATCTTGGTCTTCTCCCTCACCTCCATCTTCATCTCGCCTCTCCCCCATTTCTTCATCCGTGGTATCTCCCCCATGTGCATGTGCAAGGAGGGACCTTTCTTCCATGTATGCGGTCCTCACATACACCCAACGGACTCAAAGGACTCAATGGGTCCAGATTACAAAGCAAGCGCTTCAGGTGCTGCGCCTGGTGACACCATGTTTATGATGTTGAGGTTGGGTGCTTGCCATACACTCTTCTTCGTGGCAGTTGTACTGTGATGCACAACCTCACACCCCATGCAGCGTCTCGTACCTGTGGGAACGCCGATCAGAGTCATTGGGGCGTGGAGTAGGATTTTGGGCGGGGGTTGAACCGCTAGGGTGAAACTGGGGTTCTCACCTCAGTCGTGAGGGATGTTTTGCCCAACAAGGGTAACCACAAAATTCCAAAATTTAAACAGCCGCAGAACCGCGGGGCATCAACAAAATTCTGCCCTTCAACTTAGCGACACAGATACAGCTCGTTTGACACAAGATATAACTGCCAAGACTGTACAAAAGACAAGAATCTATCGCTTTTCTTGCGCTAGGTTCACACCGCCCTTTTTGTGGGGGCCAAGGAAACAGGGGGCACCCTAGGGATCTGAGTAAGGTCCTCGGACCCCATCCGATCGGCTCGATCCCTCGTCATCTGACGGGGGTGGGGGTCGAGGTACCCAGGTCCGGAAGTTCGCGGGAAGAGCCCCGGCATCGCGGAAGAAATATGGGAACCGGACAGACCCCTCGTACCCCAGCACCAACCTCCGGCAGGAACAAGAGTTTCCTAGCTGGCACCGCTGACAATTGAATTGGGGTGTCCAAGTGGCATGAGCCACGGACCAGGGAAGCACCGTCAAGTCAGTATAAGGCAGGATCAACGAGGGAGAGGTGAAGTGATCAATTAAAACGAACCCTGTTCCCTCTATATGACACGCCTTCGACGGGTTAATCGGTCTACAATAGCGCTGTTCGCACATGTGCATTGCAGTAAGGGCCGTCCTCATCTGCAACTGGAAGCGAACCCGATCGGTCTGCAATAGCGCCGTTTGCACTTCGCCTGATCAAGCCTGTTCGGCGCCGCAGTCATTTCGCGTAGCTCGTGCAGCAGTGCAGCTGAGATCGAAGAGGGAGAGAGGAAGGGACTGCGCAAATTTATAGCAGGGAAGGTGGTGTTGCACCATCATGCAATGCGGGTAGCGAGGGGCTTACATGAGGAGGAGAGAAGGAAGAAGGTTCCAGAGAGTCGAAGAAGGGGGGATGATCAAAATTTTCGTTCACTTGGGGTTGTCGTTCAAGCTGTGGGGGGAGGTGCGTCCTTGTGAAACGATCCGACCACCCCAACTGACGACCGATCGACCGCGCCGAAGAATCAAGGAGGGGATTGGACAAAAGGTCTGGAGGAAGACGGAGATGTGCGCGGGGATGAAGGACAGCAAGAAGGGAGTTGGTGTGTGTGCACAAAGCGGGAAGCGAGCTTGCGCGGCAAGCAAGAATTCAAAAATGGCCACACATGCGCCTGCTGATGCAAAGAAAAATTAAAATTCCGTCAATGGAAATTCATAACCGTTTCTTGAAATTCCAGTGCGGTTGTTAATCGGCCGCACGATACTACTTTTATAACAAGGACAAGGGTAAATTCAAAAGATGCATGCAGATGGCCCTTAGAAATTCGAAACGGACCCCATTTGTGTAGTTTAGCCAAGATTCGTACTTCGGGGTTTACTTCGGGTTTAATCCGAAGGGTACGTGAAGCTGCGAGGTACGGGCCTTGGGTTATCACAGTATGTCTTTCTCTTCAAGCTGGAAGTTCCTTCCTCATCCTGGAGCTGGCGCTGTTCATCCTGGGGAGTGTCTGACTCAGTGCTAATACATTTGAGTGATTCCTGAGAAGAGCTGGGGCATATGAGTTTGCAGGAGGGAGGAGCTGGTAGTCTGCAGGGTTATGAGGCTGGGGGCCGTGTTCTGGGCTGCTGTGTTCTGGACTGAGCGATGACAGACGGAGGAGGAAGACTCTGGAGGCTTATAGAAGCCATGTTCAAGGTTGTTTACACTCGGTTGAGACTCTTGGGTTCTTTGTGAAGCTGATTGAACTGGAGACAGGCGCGGGACTAGAATTTCTATCTGAGTTCTGAGCTTCCTCTGTGCATATCTCAGTTGGTTTGGTGTGGATTTCCTCTCCCAGTCTTCTTTGTCATCTCGCATTTGTATGGGATCATGTTGATTCTCTGTTGGATGGTGTTTCAATCAGTCACATGCCAGCATCTTCTATATCTAGTCATGTTTTTGAAATTTTCAAACCACCAGGACCTACAAGTCGGCAGTCATAGCCTGACCTCTGGGTTTTAAGGAGGCCCATAGTGGGATCTGGAGCCCAACAGGTTCTTTCTTTTTACTTTTATTGTTTTTGAGCCCAACAGGTTCTGAAACGGTTTTCACCTCTGCAGAGGCAGATGCAGATCCCGGGGTTTGATCCCCAGACCTTACCTCACCCATGTACAGTATCAAGTTGACCCCTGAGTGTTTGAACCCGTGACCTGTGTTTCGTAAGTTGTTGTTTGTCTGTCGTAGGACTGTGTGTATGTAGGG